TACAATTATCACCTATAAAAAATCTGACCGATTTCTTATCTTTTTTTTTTCAATAAACCAAATTTTTTAAGAAATCTTTGAGAGTTATAGGACCTGGAATTTAAAAAATCACTGAAAAAGGTACCATGCGTATTAAAGCATAGAAAAGAACCATCTTTTACTCACGGTAATCATGCGTCGTTTCCATTTTGTTTAAGTTAGCAAGCTATTTCACATGGAACCTTTTCTTTTAATTGCTTTTTAGGTTTTAAAGTCGGAGTTATCACTTATTGAACCGTATACTCTCAATGACTTGAACAAGTCAGTAGTTTCCGAACCGCTTGATTTGGCACTCAAGGTCAGTCACTGGTTATTTGACTTGTCTTCCGGAAAAGTTTATTATATCAGTAATATCCTCCTGGTGAGGTTACTCAGGTGGTCCGTAATTCCTATTTTTTTCTTTGTTTACGAATTGGAAAATATTCAACTGAATTTTTAAATTAGTAGTGTAAGCGTTGTAAATTAGAAAAATTCTTGATGTCTTCCTTGTTTAGGGTTTTGTTGACTTGTTGGTCAGTGATGTTGACCGATTTAGTAGGAAGAGGCTACAACTTCTATGCATCTCCTTATTCTCGCATAATGATCTTTATATACTTAGTCTTCGAAAGGTTTCGGAAATGACTCAGGTGGGTGTTTAAAAGTAATAGGTTGTTTTAGTTAAAGATTTTTTTACTAGTGTTTAAAGTTTTATTGATTTAGGACTTATCAGATGACAAACAATACTGGAATGTTTTCCACTATTTGAGATATCTGCCAATTCCAAATAAAAAGCTGCCACGACCTTTCTATAATGAAAGGAGTAAGTTGTTTAGTAGACAGGGTTATTGCTGTTCTGCACTTTTATGTCGCTCAACCCTTTAATATTAGTAAATTTTTTCCTTTTTCAGCAGATTTTGTTAAACCTGGATTGAAAAATAAGAGAATACGAAGGTTCTATCAGAATGCTTGGTTAGGACTCACGAAGCATCGAGTTAGTATTTCTTACTGCTGCTGCTACTTTATTTGTTCATTAATTACCTAATGTATGACAAGTTTTATTTAGTTGCCGCCGAAGTTGTTGAAACAACTTGTTCCATTTTTGAGTGAGAAAGCATTATCTGTCATGAGAGAGGGCTATTTGTTTGGAGACTTTTTATTTCGCGTTTTCGAATTGGGAGACATTTATGCTATCCTTTCATTGGAGGCTATTTATGTTTTGATGGTACAGCATAACTTGTAAGTTTTTAGAAAATTCTTATGCGTACTGACGAGATTGAGTTTAAAATTTACCGTTGAAATCTCTATAATATTCTAGTTTTCAGAAACATTTCAAATTATTACTATTTTTGGATTCACACTGCACCTTTTCAGCGATTACCCCGATTTTTATCAATGCGTTTACAGACTGGTCGTGCCTTCAGTTTGCTACTTGAGTTGCAGAAAAAAATTTTTTGATTTGCTCGATCTTTTTCTTTCATCAACGTAAGCTTCTGTAATAATTTTCAGTAACGAATATTTCAAGTCGATATTTTTGTTTAATTCTTCTAATTTGTAGACATTTGCCTACTTACATTGTGGCTGCCTTCCTGAAACGTTTGTGCCGCTTAGCACTCCTAGCTCCATTGGCCTGCCAGGAGCCTCTTTTAGCCCTTATTAGAAACCTCACAACGCGACACGAAGGTGTTAGAGTCCTTTTACATAGAGACGAGCCAGGTATACGAATTACTTCTTTATTTTTAACATTATCTTACCTTTTCTGGCTTTTAAGAGACGGTTGAAAGCGATCCATATGATGAGTATGAAGATGACATGCGAAAATGTGGTGCAGTTGATTCGTCACTCTGGGAAATGAAGGTTTCACTGTTTTTTATCGGATCTGTTTGTTTTATATTATCGCTCGATAATTTGACATGTTTAAGGTGAAATTGTTTTAACACCTTTTACAAATGAATGGTAGGTGAGATATTTGTGTTTTTTTTTTCCTTGACCGTGAGTTAGATTACTGCAGACTCTCCAAAGGCATTGGTATTTGGATGTGGCTAAAAGGGCAAATTTTGTTGATAAAGGAGTACAACGCGTGGAATCATTTGTACGTTGGCGCTCAGACGATGAATATTTTAGCAGTATAATGTCTAAAAAATTTGGTAGTGATTTCGCAAAAAATGACGGTCGTTTGGATTTTAGTAAGAAACAGGTTTGATTTTTTTTGCTTATTTGCTTCTCTAAGGACTTTTTTCAATTGGTTTTTTATTATTTCTTCACATATTTTTTAGTCACAATGGTCTGATGAGGATGAGGACACAGAGGAGCAGGAGGTTGGTAAAGATAAGAAGCGGGAAAATGGTAAATCTGTAAATGAACCGAAGAATTATAATGTTCCTATTAATTTCAACGAACCTTCAGGAGATTTCCTACAGGGAACATTTCAATTTCCTCTGCAGGACTTCTGGAGGTTCTGATTTTTTTTTACAAAGACAGGGCTTTCAAATAATGTTTATTATGGTTACTTACTGGTCTCAAGCTCATAGTTTAACGAGAGGTTTTTTGGATTTAAAAAGTTTTCTATGAAATTATCAGTTTTCAAAAATAGTATTTTTTATAGTTATTCCTCGGCGTTTTGTTGCACCTGAGTTAGCATTGAATCTTTTGTCTTGGTACGGAAATTTTTTTTACGTGCAGGGTTTTATAGTATTTCTAGATATTCTTTGCACTATTGTTGTTATTATTGTTATCATTACCAATATTGTTACAGTCATTGTTATTGTTACTGTTTTTGTTGTTCTGTTTTTTCCTTTCAATATCAGAAGAAGTAATGAAAAGTTTATGTCCAGTGCTTTTAATTTGTTCCTGTTAGTCAACGGCGAGCTGTTGCAGTTCATATCTATTCAATCGATTTTTCAAAAGATATATAGTAGTAATGACTTTTGTTCAAATTTGGTTTTGATTACTGCGGCCTGATCAATTAGCTGTTGCAACCACTTAACAAATTTAGGAGAGTAGCTAAAATAGGAATTCAGATAAGGTTGCTGTCCAGAATGTTATTAGGTTGACAAAATTTCGTCTCTTTTTGTTATCTGCGTGGGAAATTCACAGTGAATAAATTTTGTGACTGGTTGTTCAGAGGGTTCTTCTTTGCTTTAAAACATACTTATGTTGTTTTCTTGGGCAGGTTGTTGGAATAATATGAAATTTCTAACCTGAAGACGACTGGTCTTTCTTTGGGAAAAAGAATCTTAACTTTTCTTACGGACTTATTCGCTTGAAGTTTTGAAACTGCTGTCGAAAACTAGGATGCCTTGACTAGTTCGGTGGTGAAAGATGCAGTAAGATTAGTAAAATGCACTAAAAAAGTCTAAATCTTTAGTTCCTCAAAGAGAAAGAAGTATTTAAATAGGTGTAAATTTGGAAGTGTGCTTAATGTAAAAATATTTGGAAGGAATATAGTTTTAAAAAAAAAAAAGTGCAGCCGATTTGGTTCTGGGTCGTTTAATTTAATGCGAGATTACCTTGTTTAGGTTGCAGTTTTTCGAAAATGAATCACATTCGATTGAAAGGCGAAAGTTTTTGACGTGGGGGAAAATGAGGGTTTACTTTTAACTTACTACCAGAAGAAGAAATGTTTTGGTCGGCAAATCTTGGTTTAGATGCTGCTCGCAGGTCGTCTCAGAAGCTTTATTCGATGCGAATCACCGCCTTTAAGAAACCATTTTTTTGGTTACAGATGCGTTTAAATCTCATTAAAAATGCAGTTCTTACTCTGAAATTTACGAAGCCCTTTGTAATCGGTTTTATTTCTAACCCCTCGTTTGGTACTCAGGGATAAATGAAAGGTTTATTTTTGCGAGAAACCAGTGAGTTTCCGAATCTCTTTGCCAGTAGTCAATTTGATCTTTTTCAAGCCACAAGGAGGTTAGGCAGTTGCAGGTCAGAATAGTTCATAAGTACCATTCGCAAGTCGCATAGCATACTCTTTGTAATCCCGAACTAAAAATCGTATATTTATACCAGGTTCTGGAGATCGATTTACTTTTGTAAACGACTTTAAACATTTTATAATTGCTTAGCAGATATGATTCAAAGGATAGGGGCTGAATTTTTTTGTTTTAAAAACTCTTGGGTTAGGCTGCTCTTTTCTGTACCTGACGTCAGCATATAACTGTATTTGTCTGTCGAAATTTCAACCTGTGTCCTCTTTAAAGCAGTGTTGCTCGAGTTGCGGACTCTGCGCGCATTTGGAGTCTGGCAGTGTAAGATTCGGATCCGCTAAGTTATTTTTGGAGCTTTGTGATGTGTGCTGATTTTAAAGTTAAAAAAAGTTTCTTCTAACTTTTTAAGGAAACCAAATTTTTTTGTAAATCAGCCCTTTACCAGATTGTTCGGTGTTTTTTGGGAAGGTTAAAACATGGAAATATAGCCATATAAGAATATTAAAGGTAGAGAAGAAGTGTTGCTTACGATCTTGAAAAATGGAAAATCACCTCAACTTAGTAATCTGGACGTCTGAGCACCTAAAGCAAAAACAGTTCAGGTTTACTTACAAGGTAGTGTACATCTTTTTATTTTAAAATTGAGAGAGCAACTTCACCATAGTACGAGAATTGCGGGAACTGCTGAACTATTCTGATATACTAACCTTGCAGGCAGATAAATATAAGTAGTGGTAAAGTGCTATGTTCCTCGCTGGCAACCCTCCAAGTGCAAGCCTTTAATTTGCTATGAGAACCAAAAGCCAATTGAGGAATAAAACTGGGTGCGGAACGCTTCTTTTTGGTTGCAGCAGCACGAATAGAAACAGCGTCGTCGGGGGGTACCATTTCCCATCGGGGGTACCATTTCCAGAATTAAACGTTATCAGGATTTTATAAAGAAAATAGTGATGGATACGCAAGTTCTAGAGTTGGGCACATTAGTTTTTTTTACACGAGGTGACTTTTCTACAGACTTTTGAGGATTACGTGGCACGGGTTATAAAACACTGTCCTCTTTGGGTTACGTAGAGAGCTTCCTCGAGTAGTAGAGTTTTTTGCAGCCCTAAAAAACTGAGTGCAAATACTGGGCAAGAGTTCTAGAGGATAGCGAATGAAGGAGTATTTGTTTAATAAGTTGGTAGGCGAAGGAGGGTTTAAAAAGCTAAGTTTGAAAAGTATGTGGTTTATTTTGAAATCTTCTTTCTTAATTACTTACAGGTGACTGGTAGCGTGTCGGCAATGCTTAAAACGTGCAGAGTAAGACTTCACAGAAGCGTTGGTTCAAATTTAGATTCAGTACAGTGAGTGTTTCCTTAATGTGGTAAATGGCTGTCGGCCTCTAACTCTGGCTCCATTCACGTGCTATTTCAAGCGCTTTTCTCAAAGTGTTTGCTCCAGTATTTTTTCAAGCATTCTTTATAGTTTGTAGGGAATTTGTAAGGTCTGACTAATATGAGGGAACTACGAACTGTACATCCAGTGATTAATACGGTGAATTGGTTTATTTTAGATGCTTTCCGTTGTGACCGTTTTAGGGACAAGGACCAGAAGTAATCAAAAACATAGATGAAGCGCCGTGAGGAGAACAGTTTAGGAACTGCTAGTAGAACAAAAAAGAGTATAGAAAAATTGATTTATGTGGAAATGATTTTGAGAATAGGAGACCTTTGAAGGGGTTATTCGCTGAAGATTTTATTGTTTTCTTGAGTGGGGTCTTTTTTTTCTTTTTCTAATCTTACAACTTTTCTCTTAGTTGGATTTGGAGGGCAGATCTCTAGTCTTATGAACTTTTTTTTTTCGAGAAGCAGGGATGACGTGAGCCTTTGTTTTTAATATGGGCATTTCACAGCTTTCTGTTTGATAGTCAGATTTACAGATTTGTTGTTTTAATTGTCTTAGTTTCCAGTCATTTTTAAATTTAGTTTGTGACTTACAGTTCAAGTTTTCTTTCCCAATATGAACTTCTAGAGATGATGCTTGAGAGTAAATATTTTTGTTTGATTTGGCAGCTGTGTTCCTCGTTTTTGTGTCACACTTATCCGCGTTGACTCATAATCTCCCTTGACTCATAAATGCTTTTCTACTCGCTAGTAATTTTTTTGGAAAGATTGTTCTAGGCGCGTGAAATGGATCGCTTTGGCAGTCCAGCACAACCAACTTCGGTCATTACTGCTACAGCATTGGGCAGTCAGACCCCATCGTCTGTCGGCCCGGGTTCAAATATGGGACCTTCATCAATTTTGGGTGGGGCAGGCCCTAGCTCTGTTTTAGGTCCGTCTTCTAATCTTGGTAGTCTTGGCCCCTCTTCAATGGCTATGTTAGGAAGTGTCGGACCAAGCTCCGTGCTCGGTGGCGGGAGCACCAACCCGAGTTCTCTGCTTGCCGGAGGTGGTCCAAGTTCCATTTTGGGTAATGCAGGGCCAAGTTCTGTGCTCAACACTGGCATGTTGGGAAGTCATGGTCCAGGTACTTTTTTATGGAGCTTTCACGTTTTTTTTTTTT